GACGGGCACCAGGGCCTGGGGGAAGCAAGGGCCACACACCCAAAGAGACAGGAGGGTCCCAGGTGTCCCCACTGGAGGCTTGAAGTGGCCTTAGGGGACCTGGTGCTTTCTCAGGGACTCTTGGGGCCGGAGGGGAAGAGGGGGTGACCGAGGGCCCTCAGCACGCCAGAGGCGACCAGGCAGAGGAGCAACGGCAGGGGGCCCCGCGAGAAGGAGGGGGAAGAAAGGGACCCCACGAGGAGCAGGGACAGTGGGAGTGAGCCCTGCCAGGGGAGTTGGGAGGGGACAGAAATTGGGAGGGACCCCGAGGAGCTGGAGAAGGGGTCGCCGCCCCTCCCACCCCGCCGCTCACCTTGAAGTAGCCGCCCTCGTAGTAGGTGTTGGGGGGTCCGAAGATGGCCACCTCCCAGTTGTACAGGTCGCCCTCGTCCACCAGGGTCACCCGGAAGCCCTCCACCGGCTCCTCCTGCAGCCCCTTGAGCTCCAGCAACAACGCCTTCTGCGAGCTGGGCACCAGCGGCCGGGCCATGGCGGCGGTGGACGGGCCCGGGGCCTGGGGCGCGTGGGGCCGTGGGGCCGCGGGGCCGTGGCCTTTTTGTGACGTCCTGGCGCGGGGCGGGGCCGGGGCGGTGCCGGCGCGAGCCTCAGTTTCCCCACCCGGGACCCGGTCCGGCCGCCCCGGACGCTCGAGCGGGGAGGGTTCTGTCGCTCGCAGCCCTCTCCCCATTCGGCGCGCCTTCTGCAGCCTTGACTCGGCATCCGTCCCACCCGAATCCCTGACCAGAGCCCTGCTCCCTGGGCCCGGACGCCCACGCAGATCTGGATGGGAGAGTAGGGGTAGAGCCTGCCTCCATGCCTGCACATCCGCAGGTGACAGCTCGCCATGAAGGTGGGCTTGGCACCGGTGGCCTCGTGGCGGGGGACCCGGGCTGCCAACAGCTGCGCCAACGCCTGGGGCGGGGCTGAGCCTGTTCCTTCCCCGAGGTGCCCTGACATCTGGCCTTGGGCTGGTCACCACTGAGGACAATCAGGTAGACCCGTCCGGAGGAGGAAAACAAAATGTCACCTGTGGAACGAATGGAGGACTCTGAGAACCCTGGGCAGAGTAGCAGCTTCATCAGTACAGAGGGCTGTGCCCTGCACCTTGTGGGACCTGGAGGGGACCCTCATCTATAAAGTGGGCTGCACACCCTGCTTTGTCTAGTATTCTAAGTCCTCTCTGCTCCTCCTTCTCTGCCCATAGCATCAACATCATAGCATTGGCATGGGGCAGTTTGTTGATTAGTAGTAATTAGAATGAATTATGATTCTTCCAGAGGAGTTTGCCAATGTACACCCCACATAACAGGAGTTTGGAATGGGTGGGGGCTCAGCTAGAAAATGTAAAGGGAGGTGCTAGGTTTATGGGCCCTCCAGCCAGTCCCCCCCACATGAGGCTGTGTCCCTCCAGAAAAGCCCACACCTTGGACTCTGAAACATCCTGGAGTGGTGGCCACCTGGGGTTTCTACTTGACTGTTTTCCAGCCATAGCACCTCCATTTTCCTTGGAGGTACCCATTTTTAGCCTGCAAGCTTTGAATTGAACTGACCCCTAGCCCTGGCTGCAGAGCTGGGTCATCCAACCAATGTCCTAGGGCCCCTGGCTGCACTGGTTCATTTGGGGACAGCATGTGACTTGGTCTTTTTCTGGGTACACGATGCTGGGGTGACTGAGCTGGGAGAACTTGGGCCTGCAGCTAAAGGACCATTTCATCACCACGAGGCCTGTGAAAAAAGTTGGCCCTCAGGAAAGCTGAGCTGCCTGATGGGAACGTGCTGATGATCCTGTTTGTGCTCTGGATCCAGCCATGCCTGACCTCCCCCTGCAGTAATGCAAGTAATTAAATTATTTCTTTTTTTGTTAAGCCAGTTTGAGTTGAGCCTTCCATCACATGCCATAGAAGAGCCCTGAATTCAAATCTAGGTTCTGCCATAAACTTGGAAATGGTCCTCAAGTGCTAAACCTTCCAGAACTGTGAGATAATGAACTTGTGTTGTTGTGGGGTTTTTCTGGGGTTTTGTTTTGTTTTTCAAGTGGTTTGTTACTGCAGCCACCAGAAATGAATACCCTGGCTTCTCTGAGTGTAGATTCTTCCTCTGGAAAAGTGATTAATTAATTCATGGCCTTCCATAGACATATTCAGGTACAGCAGTGAATAAAATTTATAAAAACCCCTGCTTTTGGGGAGACAAGAAGAAAGGACAGAAGCAAGTTGTTAAGCAACTTCTGGTAGCAGTAATTGTTATGAAGGAATATAGAGCATAGTGAAGCATTAGCAATGAGAGTGGAGCAGACAGGTTATTTTAGATGGGGTTGGGGGAGGCACCTCTCCAGAAGTGGCATTTGAGCAGAGACCAGAAAGGAGTGAGCCACGAGGATCTGGAGGAATAGTGTCACAGAAAAAGGAATAGTGTGTGCAAAGGCCTGAAGCAGGGATAAGCCAGACCAGCTGGAGACCAGTGTGCATGGCCCAGTGAGGGGACAGAGGCAAGGATAGATGCTGAGGAGTCTCCCTGCCCAGCCTTCCTGAGTGCTCACTTTGTTCACAGGCCATGTGGTGACCACATGGCTCTAGGATCCAGGCCCAGGTCTTCTCAGCACAGCAGCCCCAGGAAAAGTCCCAGGGCTATGTGTCTCATTGGCCAGCTGGGAGTCACATGCTGTTCCTGAACCAATCACTGAGGCCGGGGTGCATGGAGCACTCCTGGGCTGGTGGGGATGTGGACTGGACCAGTGTGGGGAGGAGCAGGCAGGATGAAGCTATAATGTGCAACCAACAGGATGCAGAGAAGGGCCCGCTAACGGGACAGGGAAGGCACCCAGGTCAAGTCCCAGTCCTGGGCAGGGAGGCTTCCTCAGAGACCACAAACTCCAGAGGAGCCCCAGGACCAGGGAGGCTGTCCGGAGGCTCCATCCTGGATGTGACAGGCCCAGGATCATCTTGGGATGTCCCTGAGGACATGCCCAGCAGGTGGTTTGCTCTCCAGGGCTGGAGCAGAGCAGAGCTGGGCTCGAGATGTGAATTTGAGACTCCTTGGTGACCAGGGAGTAATTCAAGCTGCGGCCCCGGTGAGATGCCAAGTGAGGAGGAAGCATGAGGAGAGAAGAGGCCCCTAGCAGAGCACAAGGACACCTGCCCTCCCCTGGGAAGCTGGGGGAGAGGAGGAGACTTCTGGGGCCTGTGGAGTGTGGAAGGCAGGGAGGCTAGCGCCCACGCTGTCATGAGGCCAGGTAAACAGGATGGCTCAGCTTCCCCAGGTCATGCCTGTAAAGGTCAAGCCAGGACTTCTGGACCCAAGACCAGGCGTGATGGTGACTCAGGGGAGGCAGTGAGGGAAGGTGGACGGGACAGGAGATGTGACCCCAGCTGGTCACAGCCTGACCCAGGCGGGGCGGGGGGAGTCGGGGGTTGGCCCTGAAGTGTGAGCTGTCCCCACAGGTAGCTTCCCTTGAGGCAAGCAGGCCAGATTAGACCTCTGGCCAGTCCTTCACTGGCCACGCCCACAGCCGTCCCCCACTGGTCATCCCCTGGCGGTCACTGGCCACTCCTGTCCCAGAGTGGGTGATGGGGCCTCCTGGGCCATGTGGCTCCTCTGCAGTGGGGCAGCTGTGAGCCTTAGCTGGGAAGAGGATCTGGTGGCACCAGTGACGGCTTCTCCGTACTGTCCAGCCCTGTTTCTGATAGCTGGAGGGAGAGGTCGCCCCGGGGAACCACAGAGGTTACTGGCGGCTGCCGGAGCCCAAGAGTAGGCCCTGCACTGAAACAGCTAATGCTTACTGACTGGAGCCCCTGCATTAACCTTCTGGTTATGGAACAAATGACCCCACAACTTCAAGGCTTGAAACAATAACACTCATTCACTTACCCCAAAGCAGGAGCTGCCAGTCAGGTACCTCCAGGTGGCTTGGGCCTTCTCACAGCATGGCTGCTGCATGCCATGCCAGCACCCATAGGGGTACCTGTCGCCTTTCATGATGATAGGTAGACGGAGCCAAGTACTGTCACAAAAGCCACCAAGGGCAAGGGGGGGGGGGGGGGGGGGGGGCTCAGTTTCCATCTCTTTCCTGCCCTTGGAGGGGGTTGGGAGATTCTGGAAGAGCCAGTGGGAAAAGAAAGGAAGCTGCGGCTGTTACTGGTTTATCGGTTACCGGCCAAGGGCAGGTGCTGGGAAACCGGAGGAGGCAAGCTGGCTCCTGCCAAAGGTAGCTGGAAAAAGGCTTTAGATTCCGTCCTTGTGTGGTCTCCCTCAGTCAGAACAGGGGTGGCCTGGGTCCCATTTAACAGAGGAGGAAGCTGAGGCTGGACCTGCCTGCACCTGGTCTGGGCTAGCAGTGTGCTTCCTGCAGGGTCCTGGGTCCAGGAAGTGATCCCGCTGGTGGGAGGGGGACACCCAGGTGCTTGGTGACTGTCTGGTGTGCCTGGATCCTGGATGGATTCCCCACCCTTCCCCCCACCCTGTGGTGGTGGAGGTGGTGTGGGTGACTGGGGCTTAGGGCCCTGCTGGCCCTTTGCTGGTGGTGTGACCTCTGCTCCTCTGGGCTTGGGTTTCACCATCTGCCAGATGTGGGCAGTGGTTTACCTTCTGCATAGGACAGTGGTGAGGCAAGACACTGCAGGCCTTGGACTTGTTGGCCATTTCCGTCATCACTATCATGATTACCGGCCCAGCTGACCTCTTTCCTTGGCGGCTGGAGTAAACTGAGGACCAGAGAGGACCTGATCCGGCGGGGTGCTCGGGGAGGGACTGCTGGGGCAGCCCGTGCCTCCCAGATCTTGGGGCTGTGGGTCCAAGGCATCTCACTGGGTGTCCCAGTGCCCTCCGCTCCCATGAAGCCAAGTGCTGGGGCACCCTGGTTTCTGGGCAGCGGTGGGACCCGCTGGGGCTGGCTGGGATGCGCCCGAGTGGAGAGCGTTTCCGGGGACGTGTGACTGGACACGGGCGCTCACACACACATCAGGTCAGCCTGGGAACAGACTTTATTTCTGCTCAGGAGAGGCGAACCTTGGTGAAATGTGCGGGGAGGGACCCTTGCCCCCTCCCCCGCTGAACGGGGCTGAGGCATCATTCCAGGTGGGAAGTTGGCATGCAGGGACACCCCAGTCCTGGCCTCCGGAAGTGCTCCACCCAGAAGCAGATGAGCAGACCCTGAGGGCCCTGTATGTCCAGGAGGAGGAGGAGGCGGCGGCGGAGGGCGGAGCTCAGCCCACGGGCTTGACCTTAGCGATGAAGAGGGCGGCGGCCTTCTCCAGGAACTCCTCCCGGGTCATGGGGGCGCTGGGTCGTCGGGCCACCAGCGCGCGGTCCATAGCCAGCGCCAGGCTGTCGGGCCCCAGGCGCGAGCCCGCCTCCAGGTAGCGCGCGGGCGCAGTGTCGTCGCTGGCCTGCAGGGCCCCCTCCAGCGTGTCCAACACGGCCTGGCCCAAGCGGCGGTCGGCCACGGCCAGGCCCGGGTCCTCCAGCAGCCGGTAGAGGGCGCCGGCGCGCGCCACGAACTCCAGCAGCACGAAGCAGGTGAGCATCCCCGCGCGGAACACGGCCAGCGGCACTGCCTCGTGGTCCCGGCACTGGATCTTGCGCAGCAGTGGCGCCACCACCTCCTCGGGGGCCTCTCCGTCGCGGCAGATGCGCTTCAGCAGCTCGCTATACGTGCGCCCGTCCAGCCCCGGCTTCTTCTTGCGCCCACTGGCGCTCAGGCACTCGTAGGCCACGCCGACGTTGTTGTTGAAGGCCGTCCTGCGGGCGGAGGGGGCGTCGGCTCTCACTAGAGGCTTGCTCCAGCCCCCCAACCTCAACACACCGGCCCCTCCTGCCTCAGGTCCTTTCCACCAGCTGTGCCCTGACCTGGAGCGCCCTCCCCAGATCTCCCTGAGATCCGCACATGCTCCGCCGAGTCTGCTCAGCCGTCTGTGTTCAGCATCACGTCTAGGGCAGTGTCCTCCCCGACCCCCTAACCCCTTCCTATACTTATCTTCATGGAGTCCTCCTGAGTTCCCTTCCTCCCATCACCAGCTCTGGAGCCTGTCTGGGAGTTCATCTGTCGGGTCACTCATTACAGTCCCAGTGCCCACACTACCGCCTAGGAGCTAGAGAAACGGCTGCCGACTCTGCCAACGGGCTCCTGCCCACGGACTTTCCACCTCAGAGGTGTCACTGGGCAGGACATGCCCCTACCTCTTAACTGAGTTAACTCATTTCACCTGTGCAGGCCCAGAGCCTATGACCCAGGGTGTGGCTCAAGCCCGCTGCTGCTGCTTTGTAAGTTTATCCGCAAGCAGCCACATCAACCCAGACACGCTGCCTTTTTCCTCCACAGATCACATCAGGAATGGCCCCAGTGCTGACACTACTTACTGCTTGCCCCACGAAGCCATGAAGTCCCCCCTGCCGTGCCCTGGCCATGCTAGGGGCTCCCAGGTGGTTGTGTGCGGGCTTGGGTCAGCCTGGGTGCCCACTCCAATCCCCTCTTTGACAGCTGGCATCCTGCTGCAGCTCTAAAGCAAAGGTGAAGTGAGGCTTGGGGCAGCTGATGGCCAGGTCAGGGGTCCCACAGAGGAAGAGGCACCCCACGGCTCACACTCACCCTTTCTGGGAGCCTGGCTCCACTCTTATCTGTGAGACACAGCATGCCACCCGCCTGTACTGGCCAGCGTGGGTGGGAGCCTGGTCCACACTGGGCCAGAGCAGGGCAGGGTCCAGGGACAGCCATGCTCACCCACTGAGCTCCAGGGGTCAAGACCCCTTACAGAGGAGGAGCCGCGGTGCAGAGGGGAGAGGGCAGGACCTGGGGTCTTGCCCATCTGGGATTCACTTCTCAGTTCTAGGACAATGTGCTGGGGCTTTAGGGTTAGTGAGACCACCCTGTGAAGTGTGAGGGTGCCAGACCCTCTCTTTGCACAACTGGCATTGCGCTAGCTGCTGCCGTCTCGAAACAACCCCTTGTGGGAGCCTCTGTTGTCAGCTCCTTTCCCCGGGACAAGGGTTTCTGGTGGGAGCAAGCCTGGTGGTGATGATGCTGGGGCCAGCTTGGTGGCTGTGTGGCAGTTAAGCCCACAACTAGATCATGTCGCAGACTGAGAACTGGGAGCGGCTGCAGCCAGGACCCTGGTGGGGCCCCCTCCTCTGAAGGCTCGCTGTGTAAGCCCATCCCCAGGGGCAGCGTCAGCATGCTCAGGTTACGGTGCTCGCCCCCTGAGTGGGTGACAGGCAAGGTGGTGATGCGGGTTGGTCTGGTTTGATGTGAGAGGCAGCTGCCTGAGGTTGTGAATACAGGGGGCTCTCAGGGGCATCTTGGTGGCAGGGTATCCTACCCCACGAGGGTGTGGCCCACTTCCCATGGGGGGTCCACTCCTGCAACCCTGGGTGAGCAGTGCCCTGTTGATTCTGCAGCAGACGTGAGGCCACTGAGGTTTCAAGTGCCTGTCCCTGTGGCCTGACAGCTCATCCATCAACCACTCAGCTCTGCCTGAAGTCTCCCCCAGGAGCCTGGTCAACCAGCCAGTTGTCCTAAGTGACTCACTCGCCCTGGAGTTGGTCGGTGCTGTTCCTGGTCCGGCCTAGACCTGTGCCGGTTCTATCCACTGTGCTGTTTTCATATGGAGAATAAGGGTTCTAGCCTGTGTCTCAGAATTCTTGGGAGGACAGAGATTAGTTTTTGTGCCTGGTGTGAGGCTGGGGTCCCACGTGTTCTTGTCACTCACTGTCACTAGCTGCCATGCAGCCTTGTCCAGGAGCTGTTTACCATGGGCTCCCAGCCTTGTGGACATGAAGATGCATAGCAGGCAGTGATGGCCCAGGGAGATGAGATCATCAGGGGAGAAGACGGAGGAAGGCCACACCCCACCCCGAGGCCATTCTGCTGGGGGCTCCAGTTGAGAAGGGGCACCCGTGCGGTCTGCCATCCTGGGCTCTGGTCCTCAGGTTCCCCGTGCCAGCTCCCACAGAGAAGAGTTTACAGAGCACGTTGGGCACTTGCTAAAAAGAACCAATTTATGGGTCGTGTCACAGAGACACGCTGTAGACGGTGCTCTCGATGGGGTGACTCTGCCCCCAGGGGACACTAGTGACACATGTTTGGGGGCAGTTTTGTCACCATTGGTTGGGTAGAGGCCCAGGAGGCTGCTCAACACCTGCAGGACCCCCTACAGTGACCTCCCGCACCCACACAATGTCAGAGCCGAGGGGGAAGGGGCTCTGGTTCAGTGTTTGAAGAGATGGGGTCCTCTCCTTGCTCACAGCCTTTGCCTTCATACTTGCCCCTCTGAGTCACGTGGTGTAAACCAGGGTGGCCCCCAGCATCTGTAAGTCCCCTCTCCCCCACTGACTCAGGTGTGTGTGGAATGTGTACATCTCAGGATTTCAGAGGTCACATGGCCATGGAATGCAGGGTCTCCTGGGGGTTTGTGGACTCCTTTATCTCAGCGTGTCTCATCTGGGGAGATTCTGCCCCCAGGGGACACGGGGTGATGTCTGGGGACATCTGTGCTTGTCATGGGGGAGGGCTCTTGGCATTCGGTGGGTGGGGAGCAGGGAGGCTGCCCCATACCCTCATGGTACCCAGGACACCCCCACAGAGGATGCTGTGAGCCGAGGACACTATGGTGCTTCTGTGTGTTTTCTGGGGCGACAGGGCCTGCAGGGGTTGGCACTCTTGCTGCTACTCTCAGCATGTGGCGTGGCTGCCCTACAGCATCGGCTGTGTGTGCTCTGGGGGCTGGTGGGCTGTTGGCTCCACTGTCTACCAACACGTGTCATTTCCCCACCTCAGCAGAGGGGATTTAGGTTGAGTTTGCCCCAAATCTTTCGTGCTGAGGTCACTCTCAAGAGCAGCCTCAGGAAACCCCAGCCATCACAGCACTGGGGCTGCCTGGCCTCAGGCGGACCCACGCCCGGGACCCACTTGGTCTGGCTTCTGCTTCTGACCTGGCAGCTGAGGTGACCGGGCTTTCGCCTGGGAAGCCACCTCTGAGATCAGGGAGACCAGGTGCACCACTAGCCCTGGTCGTTCACCCTGCCCAATCCGTTCCCTTGGAGCCTCCCACCGACAGCTCCAGCAGCCCTGCGGCGTGGTGGATAGGGTGTCATCCCCTCACCCCCACGTGCGCAGTGCAGGTCTGCCCAGAACCTATGGGTGTGGCCTTGTCTGGAAGTAGGGTCTTTGTGGATGTAATCAGTTCAGGATCTGGAGATGAGATGAGCCTTAAACCCAACACCAACTATCTGTTAGAGACAGACACCGAGGGTGGGAGACTTGGCTGGCCAAGGATGTTTACAATGCCCTGAAGGGAAAGATGCCTGAAGGACCTCCCCCAACAGCTTCAGGGGATCAGGGAGCACAGCACTGTAGCCCCTGGATTTCTGGCTTTGGCCCCCAGGCTGTGGGAGAATACATTTCTGCTGCTTTGAGTCACGAGCTTGTGGTAAATTGCTTACAGCAGCCCCAGGACACTCAAGCAGCCCCTGGGTTCTAAATCCTACACATCTCACATGCTCTCACCTCGAGGGCCACTGGACATGGGGTGGCCGGCAGCTCACAGATATCTGTGTGGATTAGGAAAAGCACTGCAAAAAGCCTTCACGTAAAGGTCCTGGGCTGTGACGTCTAGGGGCTGAGTGGCTTGTGCAGTGCTTGACCCGGACAAGGACCTGACGGCCCTGCTGCTGACTGTTTTCCTTGGAATATGTCCTGGGTGCCCCTGTCTTCTGCTTCCCTCCTTCATGTCTATTCTGCCTTCTCACACTTTCTTGTGGGTGCGCTGAGGCTGGGGCTCCTCAGAGTCGGGTCCTGGGCTCTTCTCAGCTCCCCTGAGGCCTCCATAATGCCCCTCTCCCCATGACAACCTCCTGCCCCTGTTACATGTCTCAGCTGCAGACTTGAGTGTCCACCTTCCAGCTGCAAGGTTTTCCCAGCACCCGACTGACCAGTGACCTCCCCTCTCACAGACCACCTGGCGCTGCTCCTGTACAACCCCAGCCGCCTGGGCCCCAGCAGAACCCATGCATGCCCGCCAGTCACCCCTACCCCCTACCCTCACCAGGCCCCCATCTCCAGGTACTCCCTTTCCTGGCTATCACTTCAAACACCCCACCGGCTCGCCACACCCGGCTCCTGCTGGCCTCTCTGCTCCTTGACTCAGGAGGGCGCTCCCAGGCAGGTGGGTGCTGGGTTCAGGCTGAAACGCTCCCTTGCTTGGCTTCCCCCCTTTCCTGGGTTCTTTGGGGACCCCTTCAACATCTGAGTCCCAGCTCACCCACGTCCAGCGGCCACCCTGTCTGGTTGATGCGAGTCAGACGGCTTCTCCCCATCCACCTGACCCGGTCCATTCACTCACCCTTCTCCCAACTCAGAGCTGTGAGGGGGGTGGGGTGGGGGGATGCGCCATTCCCTCCACCGCCCCATGCTTCAGCTCTTCCCCTTCCCCATTGGTCCCACACTACAGCACCGCAGCCTCCAGACCAGTGCACCCGGTACCTCGTGCCCGCAATACCCTTCCCTGTGTATCCTGCGGGCCCCTTCCTGGACGCCCCTCCTGCCAGCAGGGGACCTCCCCGTAGAGTAGGGGCCTCAAATGAGTCTTTTGCTCCCCGTCTCCACGACCCAGCCCTGTAAATACTCATTTTCTGATTGAATGGGCAGGGTTCTCCACGCTGGTAATGCGGGAGCTAGGAGGGACCAAGTCCTGTGTGGGCTCCATGATTTTCAAAAGTGGGGTGGGGTGCACGGGGAAACTCGGCATCTGCAAAGAGGCATCACCAAATACCAAGTCGACCAGAAGTACCAGCGCCAGCACTCAGCTGGGTGGGCCCGCCGGGGCCCTGGAGCCCCGCGCGGTCCGCGCCCTTCCTGCGCCAGACGCAGCCGTCTACAGTTCCCAGTACGCCCCGCGCTGGTGCACCGGCGCCGAGGGTGGGAGCCGCGCGGAGCCCGCTGGGAGTTGAAGTCCGGCTGCGGCCCCTACCCGTCCAGGCCCGGCCCAACCCCGCACCTCTGGGAGTGGTGAGCCAGGCGAAGATGCCACAGTGCGCGGCCCAGGCGCTGCTGCTGAAGCAGGAGCTGGCCCGGAGGCTCCCCAGCGCCGCCGTTTACAGGAGACCGCAGGCCCATGTTCTCGAAGTAGTGCGCCAGAAAGGCGATGGGCTCCTCCGGTCGCGCCTCCAGCACCTTTAGCAGGGCCGCGCGTAGCATCTCCGTCACGCCGACCTGTCGCAGGAAGTCCTCTTCACTCTCGGTCGCCGCCGCCGCTCGGGACACCCCCGGCCGGCCGCTGTCTGTGAAACTAGTTGCCTGTGCCACCGCCTGCCGCCGCTTCTCCACTGCCGCCATCTTCGCTGAGGGCAGAGGGACCGGAAGCGCTGCCATATCTCACAGTGCGCTGCCGCTTCAGAGCGGCCATCTTGGTTAAGGGCAGAGGGCACCAGAATCTCGCCGAGAGACTCCTACGAAATGACCAGGGCAGGCCACCCTTTTTCCTAGATTCTAATAGGCACTGTCTCCAGGTTTCCTCTTTATGTGTGCTGCTTGACTTTCCTGGCTTAGACGCGGAGCTTAAATTTTGCCAGACTCCAAAATGGACCCCAGGAAGGGCTTGGTTTCAGGTATGAAGCCGATTGTTTGCCATCTTGGTAATGGGAGAGTCCTTTCTTAGCCTGGTCCCCTAGCAACAGGTCTCCTTGGTTACCAGGGAAGCCCTGCCAAGCTGGGGCGGGTGGCTCCACCCCCACGTCGGGACTAAGCGCCGCTCTCGCCCGCTTTTTTGATTTTAAACTCGGAGGCTTTGTGCTCAGCCTGGCCTTCAGCCTAACCCAATCTCCGTGTGAGTTTGTAGCTCTCCTCGTGCGGAAAGGTTCCCTCTCACTACCAAGCTGGGTTAGGGGTCTCCCCTGCGCTTTCGCGGCCCTTAGTCACGTGTACGCGTTCGGTAGAGCGAATGACTGTGGTCCCTAGTTCCCAGTCCCAGCCGGCTACATTTCGTTACCACCAGAGGGCGTTATCTCACGCCGCATCTTATATAGCTCTGAAAGCAGTAGTCGTGTTCGACTCTGCGACCCCGTGGATTGTAGTCCGCCAGGCTCCTCTGTCCATATGATTATCCAGGCTAGAATACTAAAGTGGGTTGCCATTCCCTTCTCCAGGGGATCTTACCGACTCAGGGACTGAACCCAGGTCTCCTGCATTGCAGGCAGATTCTTTACGGTCTGAGCCACCAGGGAAGCCCTGAACCCTGTAGCTCTAAGCTCTTGCAAAGGTCCCCAGTTCCAGAAGGCTGAAGCTCCTGGAATCTACAGCCCCTCATCTGCCGGTATCATTTCCAGCCTCTGTCTCGCTCCCCACCGCCACCTCCCCCGCCACCTAACTCCCGGCTACCCTAAAAGAGTACATACTGTTTCCCTTATCAAGCACCCTTCTGTTTCTTTGCTAGTGCGGTCCTCCAACAAGTACTTTTCTCCGCTTCTTTTGAGGACTTCTAGTTACTCTTTAAGCTTCAGCGTTCCCACGTGCAGGGAGGGGCCCCAGGCAGAGTACACGCCTCCTTCCCCCAGCCCTGGCCACGTGGGGCTGCGGTGGTGTCTGTCCTTCCTTACCTCCCTGGGGGAGTCACATAGAGCAGAGGATGCTTGGAGCTGTGCGGAGGATTCCCATGTCGTGGGACCAAAACAGAAACCACTAAGGTCAGACTAGATGCTCTTTATTCTCCAGCTCTGCACTGTGGAGGGTCTGCTCCCTTGGGACCCACGGAAGGGACACCTAGCCAGCTGGGGAGCCTGGATGTGCCGGCCATCAGGGTAGGGAGCCCACGGTCACCGCCTGCTGTCCAGAATGCTGCCCACGTCCTCTAGTCACAACCGAGTAGAAGAAAAGTCCCCCTTTGTGTGGTCTACTCGGGGTGGGGGTGTCAGGCCCAGGTCATCAGCTTGTGGGCTGGCAGCGTTTCCTCAGGTGGTAGGTAAGGAACACCAGGAGAAGGAGCCCCAGCGCCAAGCTGCTGGTCCACAGGGCAGCCGATGTTGCCGGGGAACCTGGAGAGAGAGGCATCCGAAATCCTGAAGCCCACTGCAGGCTTGGGGAGCAGCCCGGCAGAGCTTGCTAAGGTCTCACAGACTGATCAGGTTCCCTGAAACTGTACAAAGGACTTAACAGTTTAAAACACCTTTGTGAAATATACAAAAATCCCTGGACTAGCCAAAGGCCTTTGTGTGTTTAGTCACTCAGTCGTGTCTGACTCTGCCACCCCATGGACTGTAGCCCACCAGGCTCCTCTGTCCATGGAATTCTTCAGGCAAGAATGCTGGAGTGGGTTGCCATTCCCTTCTCCAGGGGATCTTCTGACCCAGAGATCGAACCTGGGTCTCCTACATTGCAGGCAGATGCTTTACCATCTGAGCCAACAGGAAAGCCCCCAAAGGCCTTTAGAGCAACTCTTTGGAAAGGTACATAGGACCCTGTAGTTAGAAGTGAGCAGTCCAGGAACTTCCTGATGGTCCAGTGGCTAAGCCTCTGCACTCCCAGTGTAGGGGACCCAGGTTCCATACCTGGTCAGGGAACTAGATCCCACATGCCACAACTAAAGATACTGCAAGCTGCAACTAAGACCAGATGCAGCCAAGTAAATAAATAAAGCACCATATAAATAAATATTTAAAAAAAAAAGTGGGCAGTCCAGTGAGGGGCCCCTTACCATAGCTGCATTTGAAGTGTAACCAGTCTGGGTGGACAGCACTGTCCATGTAAAACACACATTGCATTTGAAGACTTAGTCTGAAAACAAACTTCAGTCATGCTTCTTAATAGACTGCATGTTGAAATGATAATATTTGAGATATATTGGGTTTGATGATATATTGTCAAACTTATTTTTACTTTTTTTCCCCTCCTGAACGTGGCTTCCAGAAAAACAAATTACTGATGTGTCTGTGTCCTGTTTCTATTCCACAGGCTGTCTCAGTCTGTCGAGTTTACAGGGTTTACAAAATGCTGTGACAGCTACAGGGTCCCTGAAACCTAGTTATCACCATGCAGGCAGCTGTGACTTGTGACCCTTAAAGGGTCAGGGAAGCCCACTAGACAGCTGGGGACACAGGCGGACTAGCAGGGCACTCCTTGGCTAAGGCCTGGACACAAGGCTTCCTTCCCTCCCAGGCCCCTGCAGCCCCCAAACTTACAGATTTCCGGGACCACATACAGGTTGGCGGTGTGGCCCCCAGGGTCCAGGCGACACTGGAACCAGCCCTCAGGATGGCACCCGGACCACAGCATGCTCCTGCTGCTCAGCCAAGCTTGGGCCCCTGCCTCCTGCGTCTCGTAGGCCTCCAGCCCGCCGGGGGCCTGGGTCCAGTGCACGGCCATGCCGGGGCCGCAGGGCACCTCGCACAGCAGCTCCAAAGCCCCTGGTGCTGACGACTGGTGGATCTCCGGGAGGCACGGCCTGGTGGAGCTGTTCCTGGGTGCGGGGCCAGGACTCGCGGGGCTGCAGGTGGAGGCCAGCTCGGGGGAGGTGGTGATGGGGGGCTTCGGGGGCGTCATGACAAAGGGCTCTGGGGTGGTTGTATCAGTGGGCTCCAGGGACGCTGTGATGCTGGGCTCTGCGGGGGTCATGGTGGGGGGCTCTGAGGAGGTGATGCTGGGGGATTCCAGGGAGGTCAGGCCCTGCAGGACTGGAAAACGCAGCAGCCATTTGTTTTCTCCATGCTGCCCAGGCCCCTCCCCTACCTCCCTCTCTCCACCTGGAACACATGGTTGGACCTGATCTGCTCCAAGCCCTGTCCTTCACTTGGATGAATTGCAGGGTACCCCAGTGGATAGGAGCAGGTTCGGGGTCTGACATGCCTCCCCCCGACACCAGCGAGTGTCTAAATCTGTTAAGAGGCGTGAGAGCCCCTCACCTAGGGAGAGGAGTGGAGGGGAGGGAGGGCCGGTCTAAGGAACAAGGACGTGCCTGAGTTTTCTTTCTGCAGTTTCTTTCTGCACCACTGAGTGTCCTCCCACCCCACCCTACTTCCCTTACCTGAGTTCACAAAATATGAGCCAAACCTTCCAGGCCCCCAGGCCCCCAGTCATTAACGTGAGTTTTGGGGTGCCCTGTCAGAGAACCAGTCTGTGCTTGCTTGGTGAGAGGCTGCCACAGGCTTGGTGATATGGGCGGGGCTGTCCCAGATGACAGCAAACTAAACAGTAACCTCTGATGTGAACTGACCACCTACTGTGCACCAGGCCCCACATTAAATGTTTTCATTTTTTCATTCAGCAAGCATTTATCGTGCACCTACTATGGGCCAGGCCCCCAGGATAACAGTTATTCATTCATTCACTCATTCATTCAGGATGTATCTACTGAACACCTACATGCACTGGGCACTGTATTAGCCGCTGGCCTCTAGCCATGAACACATTCCTATCTCAGTGAAACCAACAGCAGGGGAGACAGATGATGGGAGAAAAAAGCGAACACACAAGTCGGATGTTGATAAAAGGTGTCAAGAAACATTCAACAGGGGAAGAAAAGAGGCCTGTGTGTGTGTGTGTTGGGCAGGTGGTGGTGGGACCTCTTGGGCAGGAAGATCAGGGCAGGCCTCATTGGGAAGGAGACCTGAGTGGGGTGGCGGAGCTGTAGGGAAGAGCATTCCCATGGAGGGCACAGAGATGCAAAGGCCCTGGGGCAGCACTGCCCCTGAAGTGTGGGAGAGTGAAGGGGAAGAAGGGAGGGGGATCGGGCAGGTGCGCAGGGCCCTGTGGGTGGGTGCAGCCAGCTTGGGTTTTCACCTGGAGGGAGGTGGGAGCCCCGGAGGGCTGTGGGCAGATGAGGGGCAGCACCTTGATGGGCTTGGCTCAGGGTAGGTGCGCTGCAAATCTGTTGAATGAATGACCAGCGAGAAGTAGCCCCCTGGCTGCTACTGGGGGCCAGGCGAGGGATGGGAAGTGACTTTCCCTCTAGCTTGTGGTGCGGGACCTATCCAGGTGGAGACCCAGCGGGCGCAGGGAGGAGCCAGGACTCCCAAGGAGTGGCCAGGCAGCCGCCCAGGGCTCACCAGGGCCTCAGGTGCTGGGTGGTATGACCTTGTTCACTTCCCCGCGGTTGCAGGCTCACCTGGAATGGGCCGGTGGTGGGTCAGCTCCAGGCCAGGCAGCCTCATAGTCACCTGGCAGTGGAGGGTGTGCAGGCTGGAGGTTTCTGAGGTGGGCAGCAGCCAGTGCTGGGTCACTTGGAATAGCTGGTCCTCACCTTCCTGGGGCTCTTCAGTCACGTTCGGGAGGTCTTCCACTCCCTCCAGTTCCCGACCCCCCAGGAACAGGGACATGGAGAGTGTGTCAGGGCCAGCCGGTGTGACGTTGTGGGCCGTGCAGGTCACCTCCTGGTCCCTCCCTGGCACTACGGCCTCAGGGGATACAGTCAGCTGGTCTGGGAAGGCTGTGGGGGAGGGGAGGAGAGGGTGAGCTGAGCCGGGAGGGAGGTTTAGGGCTGCGCCCCGAGGAGGGGGGCGTGGAGGTGGGGCTTGGGGTTCCTGGAGACTGCTGGGGCACAGGGACAGGGGAGACCCATTACGACAGCCTGTGTGGCTAGAATATAAGCTGTCAGAGTAAGTCCAGAGCAGAAAGGGCAGGGGGTGAGGTCCTGGAGGATCGGGGGTAGATGGGGGAGAGGGATGCGCGAAGGGGGACTGCAGAGCGACTCTGGAGGACCTGCGAGGCGAGCTATGAGCGGGGACGTGGTGGGCAATCCGGGAAGCGTTCCAGGCGGAGATGGCCAAGGGACGGAGGGCTCGCGTGCGCAGAGGCGGGGAGGGGGGCGGGGGCTCACCAAACACCAGGAGCCGCATGCGGTGCTGGAGGGACACGTCCCGGCAGGAGCCCACGCACACACGGGTCCCCGCCGCAGACAGCGAGGCGTTGAGCACGTACAGGACGCTGAGGCCCGCACCGGACTGCACGGCGCCCGGACTGGTGTCCAGGCCCCGCCACAGCACCGAGGCCTCCCTGCCGTCCGCGCAGGTCATGCGGCAGGTGAAGTTTCGCGACTCGCCCACGGCCATCGCCACCTCG